GGAGGGAGGGAGGAAGGGAGGGAGGGAGGGAGGGAGGGAGGGAGGGAATTTATCTCCATAGATGCTGAAAAAGCATTTGAAAAAATTCAACATCCATTCATGGTAAAAACTCTCAACAAAATGGGTGTAGAGGGCAAGTACCTCAACATAATAAAGGCCATATATGACAAATCCACAGCCAACATTATACTTAACAGCAAGAAGCTGAAAGCTTTCCTTCAAGATTGGGAACAAGAGAAGGATGCCCACTCTCCACACTTTTATTCAACATAGTTCTGGAGGTCCTAGCCAGGCAACCAGACAACACAAAGAAATAAAAGGCATCCAGATTGGCAAGGAAGAAGTCAAACTGTCACTATTTGCAAATGACATGATATTGTACATAAAAAAACCCTAAAGACTCCACTCCAAAACTATTAGATCTAATATATGAATTCAGGAAAGTTGTGGGATACAAAATTAATACACAGAAATCTGTGGCATTCCTATATACCAATGATGAACTAGCAGAAAGAGGAATCAGGAAAACAATTCCATTCACAATTGCATCAAAAAGAATAAAATACATAGGAATAAACCTAACCAAGGAAGTGAAAGACTTATACTCTGAAAACTACAAGACACTCATGAGAGAAATTAAAGAAGATACCTATAAATGGAATCACATCCCATGCTCATGGATAGGAAGAATTAATATTGTCAAAATGGCCATCCTGCCTAAAGCAATCTACAGATTCAATGCAATCCCTATCAAAATACCAACAGCATTCTTCAATGAACTAGAGCAAATAGTTCTAAAATTCATATGAAACCACAAAAGACCCCAAATAGTCAAAGCAATCCTGAGAAGGAATAATAAAGCTGGGGGAATTTCACTCCCTGACTTCAACCTCTACTACAAAGCCACAATAATCAAGACAATTTGGTACTGGCACAAGAACAGACCCATAGACCAATGGAACAGACTAGTGAGCTCAGATATAAACCCAAGCATATATGGTCAATTAATATATGATAAAAGAGCCATGGGTATACAATGGGGAAATGACAGCCTCTTCAACAGCTGGTGTTGGCAAAACTGGACAGCTATATGTAAGAGAATGAAACTGGATCATTGTCTAACCCCATACACAAAAGTAAACTCAAAATATATCAAAGACCTGACTGTAAGTCATGAAACCATAAAACTCTTAGAAAAAAACATAGGCAAAAATCTCTTGGACATGAACATGAGCAACTTTTTCATGAACATATCTCCCCAGGCAAGGGAAACAAAAGCAAAAATGAACAAGTGGGACTATATCAAACTAAAAGCTTCTGTACAGCAAAGGACACCATCAGTAGAATAAAACCCTGCAGTATGGGAGAATATATTCATAACTGACATACCCAATAAGGGGTTGACATCCAAATTATATAAAGAGCTCATGCACCTCAATGAACAAAAAACAAATAAGCCAATTAAAAAATGGGCAGAGGATCTGAACAGACACTTCTCCAAAGAAGAAATTCAGATGGCCAACAGGCACATGAAAAGATGCTCCACATCCCTAATTATCAGGGAAATTCAAATTAAAAGCACAATGAGATATCACCTTACACCAGTTAGTATGGCCAACATCCAAAAGACAAACAACAACAAATGTTGGCAAGGATATGGAGAAGGGGGAACCCTCCTACACTGCTGGTGGGAATGTAAATTAGTTCAACCATTGTGGAAAGCAATATGGAGGTTCCCCAAAAATCTCAGAATAGAAATACCATTTGCCCAGGAATTCCACTCCTAGGAATTTACCCTAAGAATGCAGCAGCCCAGTTTAAAAAAGACATATGCACCCCATGTTTATCACAGCACTATTTATAATAGCCAAGAAATGGAAGCAACCTAAGTGTCCATCAATAGATGAATGGATATAGAAGATGTGGTATGTATACACAATGGAATATTATCCAGCCATTAGAAGAAAACAAATCCTACCATTTGCAACAACATGGATAGAGGTAGAGGGTATTATGCTCAGTGAAATAAGCCAGGCAGAGAAAGACAAGCATCAAATGATTTCACTCATCTGTGGAGTATAAGAACAAAGAAAAAACTGAAGGAACAGAACAGCAGCAGAATCACAGAACCCAAAAGTGGACTAACAGTTACCAAAGGGAAAGGGATTGGGGAGGGTGGTGGGAAGGGAGGGATAAGAGGGAAATGGGACATTCGATTAACACACATAATGTGGGCCAGTGGGGCACAGGGAAGGAAGTATTGCACAGAGAAGACAAGTAGTGATTCTATAGCATCTTATTACTCTGATGGACAGTGACTGTAATGGGGTATGTGGTGGGGACTTGATAATAGGGGGAGTCTAGTAACCATAATGTTGCTCATGTAGTTGTACATTAATAATACCAAAAAAAAAATATTCAAGGTTCTATTCATCTAACTATACATTCCCTTGCCTAGTTTTGACCTTTCTAAGTAGAATAAATTGTATGTCTTCTATAAGGATTCAATCTTTTTGTATCATATATATAAAAGTAGACAAATTATGTAATTTTCACATCAAAAATATTTTATCTCATTTTGAAGAGGGTTATTTACTTAGTGAATTTGAGTACAATAGACAACTCAGGTAATTTGCACCTAGTAGAATAAAACCTATTTTTCTTTTACTGCAAGAATTGTTGGTGTTTTAAACAAATCCTCCAGAAGAAACCTCTAATCTGGTGATCCTTTTTCTTTTTACCTTTGTGCCATTTATCAGATTCTATCCTATATTAAAATCACACATGATAGTTTGTTTCCTCTAATGGGTTGTAAATTCTATAGAGAAATTGCCTCATTTCTACGGGATCCTAGAACAGTAACTACACTACTGAGAAGATGATAGTTGCTCAATAAATAGTGGTTAAACATACAATAAAATGAGGACTTCCTAAAGGAACCCTGCCCCTGGTTTTGCTCTGTGTGTCCGTGTGTGTGTTGTGTATGCATGTGTTCTTTTTCCCCTGTACAAAAGCTCTGGTTGAATGTAAACTGATAATCAAATCTAGGCTATGGGGTATGAAAAGTTGTACTTTATAGTTCTTTGTGGATGAAACAAACCATTACCTCAACAATCACTATACCAAGTAAGCAGTTACCACCAGCAGGTACAACCAACAATGATCTACACAAACACTGGCTGCCATCTCCCCTTTGGTCACCTTATAATCACCTTGTATTCCTGACTAATGCACAAACTTCTGGATCACAGCCCACCATCTGGACTCCTGTCCTCCTCCAAGGGCATTGTCTGTACTGGGCCACTGCTCAGTTAATTAGTTACACTGACTAGAGCAAAATGTCCCACTAATGATCACTGCAATATTTTTTTCCAAAAGCAATAACTGCCGAATATACTTAATCCTGAACTTCATCCTAACTCTGTTTAACAATGTGTCATTGTACACTAAGAATAAGTTTTATTAGACATTTGCCTAGATGAATAGTCCTCTAAATTTTTAGGGATTGCAGTTTTTAAAGAGACACTGAAAGAGCAAACAAAATCAGTAAATGGTTAGGGTCGAGTCTGGAATGTTCCAGATTTGCCAGCCAGGCCCAGCAAACTGCCTGTGACTTTCCACACATCAGCAAGTTCCCATCATAAAAGGTTTACAGCTCAAGCAAGGCCAGCTACAGACAGAGTTAAACCAACACAGTACAAAAGTGAGGGGAAAACAGTGTGAGACCAATTAAAACAAATTGGTAATGAAAGCAACAGCTGGACGTCAACATGTTCTGCTCTGTTAATGGCATGTCAACAGGGTGAATATTAGAGAAACCGGTGCTGTCTGAAGGAAAAGAGAAAACAGGACCCTAGTGGGAAAGAGCAGACCTGAACCTCGCTGGAGGCATTCTTGCCCACTCACTTGGGAAGGCCACCAGCACCGACGAAAACCCATTCAAGGAACTTTTCTCTCTTCTAAAGCCTCCCACTGAACTGCCACCACAGGAGTAACATGCCTTTTACCTTAATGCAGAGCTCATTTGACAAATGAGGTCATGACAGAGAAGGACAGTCAACAGAGCCTGAAAAGCAATGGGAAGTGAGGGACCTGGGTTTTGAGTCCAGTGCTGTCATTATGATCTTGGTCCCTGCTGTAATGCAAACACCTTGTCTGTAAAGAGAGAGGGATAACACCTTTGTTTTCTCCCCCTGGCTTACAGGAGTATCTTGAAGATGACATGAGAAATTACATATGATGACAGTTTGGAAATTGCAAACATTGCTCATCAAATAAGGAACTCTTCTTAAATGGCTGGTTGGCATGTTTTTAAAAACCAATTTCATAACTGTTCCAGAGCATGTGAAGGTGAGTTTAATATTGAACCACCTGCTTGTTCTCATTGCACTGGGTAAGTACAGAACCACAACGCTGCTGAGAAATTGTTGGTCAGATGTAACATCACATGATGGTTGTGCATTAAATCTTTTAATCCTCAAATAAATGATGCACTAATTTATATATTACTATAAAACCAGTATATATATATATATATATAACTGACATGTTTATATATGAAACTGATACATATCACATTTATTTATGAAATAATGATGGAGAATTTCTATTTTATTGGTATCTATATATAAAATGATTAGATATATTTATATATATATATATACATGTTATATATAAAATACACATATAATGATATTTATTGATGGAGAAATACTTGATTGAATTGGAGAGGGAAGACTGTTTTAATTAAGACCCAAAATCCAGAAACCATAAAAGAAAACATCAATAACTTTACATAAAAATCAAAATCTTTCAGATCACACAAAATATTGTAAGAAAAGTCAAAAGAAAAAATAAATAAGAAAAGTGTCTGCAGGGGCGGAGCCAAGATGTCGGTGTGAGTAGGACAGTGGGAATCTCCTCCCAAAAACATATATTTTTGAAAATACAACAGATAGAACTAATCCTAAAAGACAGACCAGAAGACACAGGACAACAGCCAGACAACATCCACACCTGCGAGTACCCAGCCCCTGGTGAAAGGGCTAAGATACAAACCCGGCCCAGCAGGACCAGAGCGCCCCTCACCCCAGCTCCTGGCTGGAGGAGAGGAGTCAGAGCGGGGAGGGAGAGGAAGCCCAGGACTGCTAAGCACCCAGCCCTAGCCATCCACACCAGAGTGCAGACACAGTGCATGCGTGGAGTGCTGGAAACTAGGGAAACAGGACAGCAAGACCTTTGAGCGGGTCCCAAAGCTGGCGACCCTGTGACAAAGAAAAGCAAGTGTTTTTTGAAAGTCTTATAGAGACAGGGATGCCACAGCTGGAAGGAAGCTTCCCGGGTCACAGTCCAGTAGCTGGAAATTTCAGGAAACCCTGGGCGCACTAGCCCCCTGGGCAACAGCTCTGAGACCCCTCACAGAGGTAAACAGCGAAACAGCCCCCCGTCCTTTACCCCTCCGGGGCACCACCATAGCAGAGCTGCAGCCTGAGGCTGGCCACGCCCACAGAAAGGGAGCTTCCTGCATACCCGCCGGGCAAGATTCAGAGACACAGTCTACATGAAATTGCCCAACACAAGCCACTAGGGGTCACAGTTGTCCCAGTAAAGAAACGCCAGGAGCTAATGGAAAGACTTGGCCCTCCCAGATGACAGAAAGTCAATTGCTCACCATTGCACCTATCAACATGAAAAGGCAAAAAAATTTGATCCAGACAAGACTAACCCAGACAGATTCAATATCTGCTACATCTTCCCCTGAGAAGAACCTGGGAAGATAGATTTAACCAGTCTTCCTGAAAAAGAATTCAAAACAAAAGTCATAACCATGCTGATGGACTTGCAGATAAATATGCAAGAACTAAGGAGGGAGAATACAGAAATAAAACAAGTTCTGGAAGGACTTCAAAACAGAATGGACGAGATGCAAGAGACCATTAATGGACTAGAAAACAGAGAACAGGAATGCAGAGAAGCTGATGAAGAGAGAGAGAAAAGGATCTCCAGGAATGAAAGAATTTTAAGAGAACTGTGTGACCAATT